ACTATCTGTTTTTTATATATAGCTGCGGTAGCTCGCTCCTCTCTCTAGCGTTCTTTTTAGAGTTTTTTTTATACTCTTACTATTATTCTATTACCTTATAGGCTCTAACCTTTCTTACTAATTATAGGCTCTATAATACTATAGTGCTATAATACTCTCTATACTACTATAAATTAAGGGGTTTTCCTTTAGATTTATAGCGTTTTCTAGTAGTAATACTACTACGTAGTTTCCTATTTTTATAGTATAAAAGCTTATTCTAAGTCTATAATAAATAGAGCGCCTATTTAAGCTATTTAGCTATATTTTTTAATATATCTAGCACCGCAGCGGAATATATTCTTAATAGCTCTTACTAGATATCTCTATTATTTACCTCTCTAATTTCTATATCTATATTAGCTTATAGTAGTAGTATTTTAAAGCGTTTTATTACAATATTAGGCTTACGCGGATAGATTCTAGAGGTGCGAAAACTACTTAATATATGTCGCAGAACTAATAGGTTGGTTGGTCGGTGACTAACCTGACCCAGATCATATAATCCGTCCGATCCTTTAATCTATCTAATCTTATTAGATAGAGGAATGGTGGATTAGATAAAGACTAAGATAGATTACTAAATAGAGTTAGACTTAGTTAAATAAGTATATAGTCTAACCAATCTACTAATCTAGATTAGTAGATTAATCGGTCTATTATTCTTAATATATTCTATTTATTTAAAGTTCTCTAATCTTTAATAGTTATAAGCCTAGCGCTATAATATTATAGTATAATTCTCCTTACGCATTTTATACTGCTAAGACTTTAAATAATAAATTAATTACTCTATTATTAATTAACTCTTTCTAAATAATCTATTACTATAGATTATAATAATCGTATTATTATAACTATAATCCTTTTAAAAACTAGAAACGACTAGCTAATATAGTTTACCCAGCTCTATTCTTATACTTAAGATAAGGGTATCTAGCACTTAATTAATCTAGATCTTTCTACTATTTCTCCGATCTAGGACTATAAACTAGTTTACTCTAAGATTCTAATTAAGCTATCGCCCGTACTAGTTTTACGCTTAGAACTATCTAATAAGAAAATTAAAGAATACTAATAAGTAACTCTTTAATATAAAGTAAAGTTAAGAGTATATAAGCTAGCTACTGCTAACTATTTAGAAGATATTAATTAATATTGTTATAAGTAATAAGAAGGATTCTCTCCTTAACGAAGGATAGAAGGTAAGGAGCCTATGGACGTCCACGTCAGAAGGTAATGATTATCACAGGGCGAGAATTATGTGATCTGGCATCTCGCCAAGACCAGGCATCGCGCTAAGAAGATAGATACTAGGACATCTCGAGATGCCAGAACATCTCGAACATCTCCGAATGCTAGGGCACTTCGAAGATGCTATAGATGTTAGGACTGGAAGTAATGAGGATATAAGAATAGATGGATTTTATTATTACTCTCGTTGTGGTTAACTTAAATTATACTTTCTTACTAGTATCTTTACTTAATAAGATTGTTATAAGTTAGTCTATTAAATAGATTAGTCTTATCAAACCCTCCTTAAGCACGCTAACTCTACTATATCGCCAGATAAGCCTCACGGAATACTAACGTAATACTCACCTACCTTAGTGCGGACTAGAATAGAGAAGTATAGACTCTTACCCTGTGTAACACTTTAACTACCTATGAATCTAGTGGAATGAGGATTGACTAGTAGCGTCCAAATAAGATTAAACTATATTAGGAAATTTAAGCGAATATGTTTATATCCTAGGCTCAGCGCCTAAGAGAGATATTAATATAACTAGTAGTACCTAAGAGGGAAATAACGAGCCGGCGGTAGAGAGCTCTAAGTATAAACTTATTAATCTTAGACGCGAGAGCTAAGCCTAAGTAAGGTAGATAGCTAAGTTACAAAATACAATTAACTAACTTATAAGTTAACTAATGGCCACCCTAAATAAGAAACTACTTAAGAAGCTAAAAATAGTAACCCTAGAAAAGTACGATAGAAGTCGCACTAAGTTACGGACATTTCTTACTAATATTAACTTATATTATAAATTTAACGAAGTACCTAACAACTAGGAAAAAATCCTTATAGCCAGCACCTATATAAAGGGATAAGCATTAAGCTAGATGCAGCTATACGTAGAGAACTATCTATTAGATATTAAAAAAAGAGGAATAAAGGACGAGACGCGTGCCTTATTCACTAGTTAGGCTAAGTTTAAGAAAGAGATAAGATATATCTTTAGGGAAGTAGATGCTTAGAACTAGGCAGAGAAAGCGATAACTCGCCTAAAGTAGACTAGTTTAGTATTAGCGTATATAGCTAAGTTTAAGTAGCTATAGGCACGAATTAACTAGGACGATATAGCACTTCGAACAGTGTTTAAAGTAGGTCTAAAGGAAAATGTTAAAGACGGACTTATATATTATAATAAACTAAACACGCTTTATACGCTAATTAAGTTAGCGACACGTATTAATAATAGACTATAGAAAAGAAACTAATAAAGAAAATAATTCTAGCTAGTAATAGCTAATATAAGGAAACAGCGTAGCCGGTTTAATAAGGATAGTAACACTATCATAACTAGTAAGGTATAAGATAAGTCTAAGAACAAGAATAGAAAACCCTAAGAATAGTATAATAACAGACTCTCTACGGAAGAACATAAGAAGCGTTATAATAGTAAGGCATGTCTCTAATATAATAAAGTAGAATACTTCTATAGAGATTACCTAAAAAACGAAGTTAGATAAGGAGTGGTTAAGATTAGAATAATTCAGATACTAATACTATACCTAACTAAGAAGCTAGATAAAACTCTTAACGACCTAGACCTATACGAAGAAGTAAGATAAGCTACTAATAAAGCCTTTAAGCTAGTATAAGAGGTAATAGAACTCTAAGACTTTAAGTAAAACGCACTACTACTAACAGATTAGTAGATTAAAGGGGCCGAAGTACTACGCCGCCTAAGAAACTAATAGTGCTAGATTTGCGGAACTAATACATATTAAGCTAATAATTATAATATTAATAGATAAGTTATAATCTTAGAACTCTAAGTAGATAAGATTACTTATAGAGCTGCCTAGAAATAACCTAGGTTTAAGGAACTTAATAACGAGGAGACACCTCAGACGTTTAAAGAATAGATAAAGTAATACGAGCGCCTATATTAGGTCAACTACCTAAGATAGTATAATTATTACTTAAGGAAGCGAGAAGAAACTAGAGATAATAAGAACGATTACTACTATACTAATTTATAGTATAATAAGTATCGCGTATAGTATTACTATATATACTAGCCTAGAGAAAAGGAAGCTTATAAAGAGTTATACTAGATTAAGTACACGATTAATTACTAATTCTATAAGAAATAGTAATAGAAAGCTAAAAGAGTAGATAACTACTACTATAGCTCGATTTCCGCCGAAGAATATATAGCAAAAAACTATAGAATGTATAGAGCCTAAGTATAGAAAACGCTAGTAGAGTATAATAAACTCCTATAAACGTATTATAAGAAAGGATGCGCTATACACTAATAATAGTTTAAGAATACTTAATAAGTAGGTAACTACTACTATAGCACCTTATTAGCGAATAATTATAAGATAAAGGATTGCCTAATTTATAAAAGTAAGAGGCTAGAACTAAGAAAGAGGACTACGCAATAGAAGACACCTTATAAGAATATCTATTAGAGCTTCTACTATAACAACTAGTGTATAATACACTATTCCGCCAAGATAGGCGAAGGCTACTTTCTAAGAAAGAAGGGAAGTAGATAGTTAAAAAACTAGAATACTACTAAGAATAGAGTTACGCTAGTAAAGACAGTTCTAACACGACCCTTAGATAAGTATAGAAAGTAAGAGTAAAAGAATTATAATTAAAAGCTATAGTACTTATAGACGGACATAAGGTACTAGCGCTTATAGATAGTAAGGCCGTACGAACTATTATATCTCCACGAGTAGTAGAAGGAAATAATATACTCTATTAGAATAAGAAGGTACTAATGCGAGTAGTATTAGCCGACGATAGTTCTACAATATATAGGAACGGTTAGATCTAACTTAAGACTAAGATAGTAACGTTACGCTTAGCTAGTTAAGAAAGCTAAGAAAAGATTAGCATTATAGATCTTAGAGAGACTAAGATAATAATTAGCTACAATTAGTTATTAAAGCACAACCCTACTATTAATTAGTAAAAGAAGATATTACTTAGCTAAGAGCCTATATATAAGGTTGCTAGAGTACAACACAAGATACGCTCAACAAATTAGCGCGCAACTTAGAATAGAAGATTTAGTATAATCTTACTATATAAGATCGCAAGAATCTATACAAAGGACCCTTAGAATATAAGAGTTATTTAGATACGGTAGATCGCGACTATAAAGGAAGAATTAGTACTATAGTTAGTAATTCTAATAGAATACTAAACGGACGAGTTTAGAGAACTATTTAAGAAAAATAAGGCAACGGACCTAGCAGACTATTAGGATTAGGATCACGAGATTATTCTTAATAAAGGAGCTAAGTTAAGCCTAGGACTAATATACCCTATAGCGCCTGAGTATAATACTAAGCTGCGGGATTATATCTAAAAGATCTTAAAAAAGGGATTTATCTAACTAGAATTAGGCCTAATAGCCTTACCTATCTTGTTTATAAAGAAACCTAATAGGAAGTAGCAACTATGTATTAACTTTAGAAGGTTAAATAGCGTAACTTAAAAGAACTAATATCTCTTACTACTTATTATAGAGCTTATAAATCAACTCTAGAGAGCTAAGTAGTTTATAAAGTTTAATATTTAGAAAGAATTTTACTAAATTAGGATTAAAGAAGGTTACGAATAGATAATTGTATTTAAAATAAAGTACGGACTCTTTAAGTATATAGTTATGCTGTTCGAATTAACGAATGCGCTAGTAACCTTTTAATTAGTTATTAATAACGCACTCTATAAATACCTCAAAATCTTTATTACTACGTATCTAGATAATATACTAGTATACTCTAGCAGCACACGCGAAGAATATATTAAGTATATTAAGAAGATTTTACAAAAGCTTAAAGAATATAAGCTATACCTTTAACTAGGAAAGTGTAAATTCTATATATAGAAAATAGAATTTCTTAGATTTGTTATATTAACTAAAGGAGTGAAAATAAACCTAAAGAAGATATAGACTGTACAGGAATAGCTAATACCTAAAATAGTTAAAAATATTTAATCCTTTTTAGGATTTGCGAATTATTATTAAATGTTTATTAGAGATTATTTAAAGATTATAGTACTCTTTATAGAAGTAATAAAAAAGGAAATAGATATTAAATAGGAATAGAAATATTAAGAGGCTTTTAATCGAATTAAGTAGATATTCCTAGAGGCGCTAGTACTCGAGATGTATAGCTCTTAATAACCTACTAGAGTTAAGACTAACGCGTCTAACTATGCACTTAGAGCTATATTATTATAGTAGTGCCTAGATAGAAAATAGAGACTAGTGTTCTACTATTTATAAAAGTTCTCTAGAGTAGAACTCAACTACAATGTTCACGATAAGAAACTACTTAGCGTAGTTAATGCCTTTAAATAATAGGAAGTATACCTATTAGAACTCCCCAACTAGATTAAGGTTTTTACTAATTACTAGAACTTAACGAGTTTTATAATAATAAAAAAACTTAACTAACGATAAGTATAATAGGCAGAGATACTAGCCTAGTTCAACTTTAAGATCACGCACCGCGTAGGAACGCTTAATAGAGCAGTTGTAAAGGGCTGCGCCCGTGATCTCTACTGAAGAGGATCACGTGATCTTCGACCACGTGATATACCTTCTGTACGGACACGTGATCAGAAGCGAGCAGGTATAAGAGAAGTCTGTACTTAGTTATCTTCTCTTTTTCTTATCTTTTAGCTTCTGTACGATAGGTAGAAGCATACTCATTCGCTAGGCCTCTCCGCCCATAACAGCAGTAAACGCTTTAAGTAGGAGGTCTAATTTGCGCGAAGAGGGTTATAAGAAACTACATAACGCCTTACTTAAGAAGATGCCTAATAGCAGTCTAAAGTACAACTAGCTGGAATTAGCTAAAGTAGCTAAGGTGGCTAAGTAGATAGAAACGCTATAATAGTAATAGTAGTAGTGAGTAGCTAGCTAGCAGTTCGAGCCCAACGAAGCAGGCTCCAACGAACTATTAAACGACGAACAAGAGTACTAAGATATAGTTTTAAAGAATTGAATATATATACTTCTATATATAAGATCAAGTCTTATATAGGAACTATACGAGTTCTAAGAGTACGGACATGCAGGAATTAAAGAAATAGTTAGACGACTAGCTAAGGTGTTTACAATACCACGTATACGTACGAAGATGTAGGAAATACTAGGCAACTATTTAGTATGTTACTAGAATAAGCCTAAGAGATATAAGCTCTACGGCCTGTTATAACCCCTATAGCCACTATCTAGACTATAGATAAGTATAACAATAGACTTTATAGTAAAGCTCCCGAAATTATTAGAACTAGAATTAGCCCAATTTTGCGATATAATCTTAGTAATCGTGGACTAATTAACTAAGATAGAAAATTTATACCTATAGAAGAGACTATTATAGTAGACGAATGCGCGTATGAAGTTACTAAAGCACTAGTGTTAGAGTATAGGATATCTAAAGAGTTTATTACTAATCGTGATAAACTGTTTACGTCTAAATACTAGAGCATATTTCTGGTAAAGTTAGGTATTAAGAAGAAGCTTTTAATAAGCTTTTACCTGGAAATAGACAGCTAGATGGAACGTATGAACTAGATATTAGAATAGTACCTACGGATGTACGCTAATAAATTACAGAATAACTAGGTAGAATTATTACTAATAGCGCAATTAGCCTATAATAGTATAAAATTAGTAATAATAAAGCATTCACCGCACTACGCGAACTATGGATATAAGCTAACTGCTTATTAGGATCTAAAGAATATTAAAAGTATTGCGGTAGAAGCAGACGATAAAGCGAAGCTTATGCGAGAATTGCACGAAGAATTAAGTAAGAATATAGCTTAATAAAACCTTACGATATCTAAAGCAGCGAATAAATAAAGAATTAAGGGACTAACCTTTAAAAAGGGGGATAAAGTTTTCTTATTAAGATAAAACCTGAAAACTAAACGACTATATAGAAAATTAGAGAACCTCTAAATAGAACTGTTTAAAATCCTAGAGAAAATAGAAAAAGTAAACTATAAGTTAAAACGTCTATAAGATATACGAATCTACTCTATCTTTTATAAGAAACTTCTAGAACTAGCACCTCTAGATACTGAGCTAGTAACGGATATAGAGCTTAAAGACGATAAGTACGAGGTCGAAGAAATTAAGGACCTGCGGAAAATTAGTAGTTAGTGGAAGTACTTAGTTAAGTAGTAAGGATGGCCCGAAAGCTATAATACTTAGGAACCTAAAGGAAATCTAACGAACTGTAAGTTACTAGTACGTGAATACTACTAGAAGCACCTAGAGAAGCGAGGGGTAAACTCTTAGGGAAGAGAAAGGAATAGTTAAAAGAAGGATTGTAGAAATTAGCCTGTAACTAGCCTAGGTTAGTTAACGGTCCGGATAGCGATAGTTCGACAACAGGAAGGCCCGTACCACTAGGGGCTAAGCTCCCCTCGGCCTGCTCCTTCGCACGATCTTAGATAGTAATTATCGCAAGATTACGACGCGTAAAGGTACGCTTTCTATTCTTTACCTCTAGAAGTTCACGGCGCAGGCGAGACGCCTTAGCAGCAGCTAGAGCCTAACGCTCTTTAGCTTAAGCAACCTCTAATTCCTTGCGCTCCTGCTTAGCCTGCACTTCTTCCTACTCTTTTTTAGAAATAAACAAACTACACTTAGCACTAACTGAGATGCACCTAGTATAACGGCCGGAGGACGTTTTAACGAAGTAATAAAGCTTCTTCTCCTTATAACGCTTATAACGAAAATCTATTTTAAGACTCTTCTCTTCCGCTTGCGCAGTATGAGCACGTTTCTGTTTAGTTAAAGTCTGGGTATGAGGAGTATAGGGCTTTTGGACCTTGGGTATAGTTAGGAAGGCTAGAGTTAGGAAGGGACGGTTATAATGGCCTAGAGCCTACCGACCTTATATATAGCCAGCGATTTAACACGCGGCACAGTAAAATGATAATCTAGGGTATTAGGACGATACGCTTAAGAGGGGGGATAATATTATAAGTAATAAGAAGGATTCTCTCCTTGACGAAGGATGGAAGGTAAGGAGCCTATGGACGTCCACGTTAGAAGGTAATGATTATCGCGGGGCGAGAATCATGTGATCTGGCATCTCGCTAAGACTGGGCATCGCGCTAAGAAGACAGATACTAGAACATCTTAAGATGCTAGGATATCTTGAACATCTCTAGATGCTGGGGCACTTCGAAGATGCTATAGATGTTAGGACTGGAAGTAATGAGGATATAAGGATAGATAGATTTTATTATTACTCTCGTTGTGGTTAACTTAAATTGTACTTTCTTACTAGTATCTTTACTTAACAACATTGTTACAAGTTAGTCTATTAAATAGATTAGTCTTGTTAAACTCTCCTTAAGCACGCTAACTCTACTGCATTGCCAGACAAGCCTTATGGAATACTAACGTAATACTCACCTGCCTTAGTGCGGACTAGGATAGAGAAGTATAGACCCTTACCCTGTGTAACAAATATAAGGTCTAATCTATAAAGTAGAATCGCGATATTACTCGTCTTAGTAATATGTGAGAGTAGATTTCTAAGACTATATCCTAGAATTATCTCTCTATAGTTATACTTAAGCTCCTTAATACTAGATCTTTAACCTCTTAGGCTATTATTTAAGAACTAAAAAGCGATCTAGCACTAATAGATTAGGCTAATATAGACTAGATTAGGGAGTAGTATCGTACGCACCTTAATAAAGCTAAGTATAGCTAGGTTAGTCCTAAACGCTAGTATAACGAATGGAAACTCTTATATAGAAAGGCTTAGGCTTTTAATATATTAGACGTTAAGGGTTAGCTTACTCTTACTAACTTTCTTAATGCGTTAGCACTACGTATTACACTAGAATTTACTAGAAGTATCTACCTGCTAATAGCTTAAGACTATACTAGAGGAAGACTAGAGATAATAATAGAAGAGCTAGCGTAGTCGTTTACTATTCTACTTTAACGTAATATAGCTATAGTAGTAAAGAGTAAAGGATATAGAATATTTATATTAATCTAAAATATAGAGTTATAGTCTAGGCTAAAACTAGCTAAAGGAACGTTTACGTGCCTATATAAACTATAAGAATTATACTTATAGAACCTACTAATCTATAGAAGGTTAGAGATGGCGCTAACTAGATTAACTAAAGTTAGACTACCGCTAATTATACTCTCTAATATAGATTAGAAGAAGATATATAAAAAGATTAATAAACTAAAGTAGGCTACGCTACTTAACTATCTTAAGTAGAATAGCTAAAAGATAGTTATAGCTATAGTTACGACCTTTAATTATAAGAAGTAAAGAGAATACTCTAAATACTTTATTACTATAGTACTAATTAATCTAGTACTATTCTAGGAGAAAGAAGAAATACTCTTAGAGATCTATAGTACTATGCTATATAAATCTTACTCTCTCTTAACGAGCACGATCCTTAATAGTAAAGGGGTAGTTTACGTAGTTAATAATAAAAGCTTATTTATTCTAAGTATCTTTAAGCTAATAATAGAACTTAAGATAGTTAATATAAGAATAGAATCTCCTACTATTAGAGGAATAAGAGATTACTTAATTAAGAACTTGTAAAGGGCTGCGCCCGTAATCTCTACTAAAGAGAATTACGTGATCTTCGACCACGTGATATACCTTCTGTACGGACACGTAATTAGAAGCGAGTAGGTATAAGAGAAGTCTGTACTTAGTTATCTTCTCTTTTTCTTATCTTTTAGCTTCTGTACGATAGGTAGAAGCATACTCATTCGCTAGGCCTCTCCGCCCATAACATAAGCTAAAAGATCACTTTAACCCTTCTTACTCTTTTCTCTTATACGGAGCGAGAGAGAATTAAGAATGCAAAATGAATAAGATATAACAATAGGGCTATATAAGCCTATACTAAACCTAGAACCTAGTAACGCCCCACTAAAGCCTCCGACGTATAAGGAGCTCGCAGAAAGCTAGAGCCAACTTAATACAACGAATAATCTACTCTAATGAAACCTAGACTAAATAGCTATAAGACTTAAGGACGCTAAAGGCGTATAAGAAGAACTCTAAGAGATGAAAGCCCTTTTCCTCTATATAGCATAGGGGCAAGCTACCCCTAACGCACAGACTCCTAATCTCACGCCGAGTATAGAAAGTCAGCAACCTCCTAGCTAGTCTCTAGCTACGCCTACGCCCGTATAAGAGTTTAGAAAAGCTAAACTCTCTAATGTTAGAATCTTTGAGAAAGGCTCACACGAAGAATACACGTAGTAGAAGATATAGATCTATACGAAACTATTAGCGGATCACCTAGCTTACTCTACAGAGTTCTACTAAGCTCACTATATAATCTCCCGTACAGGAGAACTAGCCTTTTTAGCATTATAGGCTTACGTACAAGACTTTATAAGTAGAAATCTATTACCTAGCTTAAGTAAGCTTTAGAAGTAACTAGACGCGTTCTTTAAAGACCCTTCAATTAAGTAAAAAGCTCTACAGTATCTCCGTACGACTAAGCAAGGAAAAGGCGAGTTTCTTTTCCACGTACGAGCTTTCAATCTAAAGTTTAACGAAGCTAGTTTTAGATAAGATAACAACGCGCTAAAAATTAACTATCTTAAGAATTCTCTTAATAGAAAGCTACTACGCTACTAAGCTAGGTACTAGCCTCCTTTAAACGAGACGTACGACGCCTTTATTTATCAACTTAGAAACACTTAGAAGAATCTTAAGGTAATTAACTAACTCTCGTCTAACGCGCCCTCTTACTCAATCTCTCTTCCTACGTCTACCCTAGCTGCTATAGACAAAATAGACTAGACGCCTAATATAGGCGCCATACGTCCCCGTATAAGGAACGAGTACTAAGGTACATAAAGCTAAATTACTTAACGCAAAAAGGAGAGCAGCTATCTACGTTATAGTATCTACGGCCACCTTATACAGTAGTATAAAGCAGTAGTCCTAAAACGCACGCGCAAGCTAGAGACTATAATAAAAGTTCTAGCTACTACCTTAGAAGACGAAAGCTTAGATAAGAGAAAAGAGGAGCCTTAGTCTAAAAACGCCGACTAGAGCAGCTAAAGCAGGTTAAGCAGGTCGTACGACCTATTTAAGAGCTACTTTACTAACTAAAGCCTACTCAGCCAATGTCCATAGACGTAATCGTTAATCTTTTAAAAAACGCTACTACTATAATTAATAATAAGTGCTGCACTTATATAATAGTATATAAAAGACTTATACGAGAACTTAACCTACCGCGCGTATCTATCCCTACTAGAGAAATTAAAGGTATTAATAACTAGAAAAGCACTATACGAGCTATTACTTAATTTACTATAGATATTAGAGGAATTAAGCAAAAAGCAGCCGCTTTTATTACCACATCCACGTACGAGTATAACATTATTTTAGGGAAGACCTAGCTTAAAGATATAGGAGGTGTTATTAATACGGCTAGACGAATACTTCTTCTTCTACGTTATAATCTCTCTATACCTAGTATAGAGAGAACTAAACTACTACAGAACTTTACTATAATCTCAGCAGCCGCCTTTTAAGCCCACGTACGACGAAGCTAAAAATAGCTAGCTCTATAAGTCTTCGCTGCTAGTCTCTAAGATATTAAGAAAGCTCTCCGTCTAAAGACGCAGCTAACTATAGTAGAAGTAACTAAGTCGCTTCCTTTATACTTACGATAGTACGCCTCTCTATTTACCCCAAAGAAAGAAGATGAGCTCCCGCCTCTACGAGGTCCAGACGTTAACTATAAGATCGAACTAATCTCTAAAGATGATAAGAAGCTACTAGAAGTCCCGTATAGACCTCTCTACAATATATCTAGAGATAAACTTCTAGTACTACGTAAGATACTATATAAGTTACTTAAGAAAGGGTTCATCCGCGCAAGTAACTTCCCTACCGCGTCACCAGTCCTCTTCGTACGGAAACCTAGAGAAGAACTAAGATTCTACGTAGACTACCGCGCCCTAAATACACTAACTTATAAGAACTGTTATCCTCTACCCCTTATACGTAAGACGCTAAATTAAGTTAGACAAGTAAAGTAGTATATAAAGCTTAATATCACGGCCGCCTTCTACAAAATCTAGATCACAGAGAGCTAGAAATAGATAACTACCTTCCGCACCTAGTTTAGGTCGTACGAGTAGCTAGTTACTCCTTTTAGGCTTACTAACGCCTCTAGTACATTCCAACGTTATATTAACTAGACACTACGCGAGTTTCTAGACGATTTCGCTTCCGCCTACTTAAACAATATCCTAATCTATATAGATAGCTTAATATTCTAATATTACGACTACGTACAGTAAGTAATTGAGCGTCTATAAGCTGCGGGACTACAGCTTAAACTTAAGAAGTGCGAATTTAACGTCCAACATATGAAATACTTAGAATTTATTCTTAAAGTAGGGAAGGACGTCTTAATAAACACTAAGAAGACAAGAGCTATTTAAGAATAGAAAGCTCCAGCTACTGTATAAGACGTAAGAGAGTTCCTTAGGTTCGCTAATTTCTATCGCAGATTTATCCCTAACTTTTTAAGACTTATAGAACCTCTTATATAGTTAATAAGAAAAGACGCTAAATTTAAATAGAGCTAAGACTAAAAGCTAAGCTTTACTACTCTTAAGGAAGCTTTTCTCTCTAACGAAGTATTAGCTGCCTTTAACCTAGACAGATAGACAGTAGTAGAGTGTAACTTATCTAGACGAGTAATAGGTACTATACTTCTATAAGAAGACGACAAAGATACTCTACGTACGATAGCTTACTTCTCCTAAAAGCTACTAGTGTATAAAGCGAACTACCTAATCCAC